TTGCACAAGACAAATCCGGCGCGCGCGTTGGGGTCTGACGAGTTCTATCCAAGAATCCCGAAGGAAACGTCGCTCACACGGGCAAAATATTTTTGCCTGGTGTTTCGTCAGTCGCTTGATGAAGGCAACCTTTACCCTGTTTGGAAGGAAGCAACAGTCACGCCAACCTACAAAACTGGCGGCCGAAAATCGTCCGGCCTATTGGCCTCACTGGCGTACTGTGCAAGTTGATGGAATGCATTGTGAAGCAAGCCATCACCTTACTACCAAAAACTTGACATATCCAGTTCAACGCGGATTCCTCCCGAAACTTTCTTGCGAACAGGAACCCGCTCGTATTATTGGACATCTTAACCTAAGCCAAGGATGATGGACTCATATCGGGTGTCATACTTTTCGACCTCTCAGAAGCATTTGGTAGGATCGCACAAGTCACGCTGCTCCACAAGCTTGAAGCTTACGAAAAAGAGAAAATTCTACACCAAATAAGGCCGTTTATTCCGAACAGAGCATTATGCGTGAAATTGGGCTCGACTTACTCTTTTCCAGCGCCGGTCTCCATCGGAGCTCTCCAAGGCCCCATTTTGGGACCACCGCCGTCTCTGATATATTTGAACGGCCTCTCAGACATTCTTTCAAGTTCATGTTTACATTTTNATTTCTTGCGCCAGAAAGCCTACTGTTCCGAGATTAGAGCTTGAAGAGCAGCGCTACATCCTTTTTTCGCCAGTGCCTTTCTGCCCAACGGCAGCCGCGGAACGACAAGACCAAAGGCGATCTCGGAAACTCGGGAGAAAGCTTCAATCCTGTGTAGCAACACATAAATCCGTGAGACCTGCTTTTCTGAAGTCAGGATGGTTGCACCCAGATAGATCGTTTGAAGATACACTTAACGCAAAAAATGAGGGAAATTAGTGTACGGTTTCATAGGGGGATATGTAGTTGTTCCACCGGCCTACTATTGAAAGCATCTGAGAAAAATTTCCTCAGAGGAGGTCTCAACTGAGGAGTCCACAAGAATGTTTCAGTGCGGAACTACGTCAAGGATGAGCGGTGGATAAGAAGATAGATAGATAGATGGATGGATGGATGGATGGACGACTTGAAATCCTGGAGTACCAATGCCAGTGCCCTCCAAATGGATGTAGACGCTGCCAAGCAATGGTCGTTGGACTGGCACCTTGTTCTAAATGACGGAAAATGCGTCAGTATTTCGTTTGGAGGTGACTCAGCGAATGCGGAAAATGCGTCAATATTTCGTTTGGAGGAGACTCAGCGAATGCCTTTGTTATGCATGGTGATAAAGGACCAGAAAACATCACGAGGACAGATGCCAAAAAGGATTCGGGCATCCGGGGCTCCTCAAACATGATCTTCTCCCTGTACTATGAGAAATCGGCCCGAAAGGCATTCGGCATTTTACGGACGATCCCACACACCTTTTCCCGTATTACTCGGATGGACTTCCAAATACTCTTTGGGGCCTACGTCAGACTGTTCCTGAAATACGCCAAACAAGTTGTCTACTCAGGACGCACGAAAGACGTCATCCTCATTAAGCGTGTCAAGCGAGTCGCCACGAGAATGGTTTCCGGCCTCAAATCCATCCGGAAATCCGGCCTCAAGCGCGTCTCGCGATGCTTTATCTCTTTCTCCTGGAGTACCGTCGCCTCCGAGTTGAGCCAAGTCTTACCTAGGCCCTGTTTGAACAAACTTGGCAAACAGGCTTTTCACCGTTGACCCAGCAAACACACGGCGGAGACATAACAAGTAAATTTTTAAGCTCAGAGCACACACATTCATCAGAGACTTTTTCTCATTTCGGGTGTTAGGTGCGTGGAATGACCTTCCTCCGACGGTTGTCTACGCTCCTTCTAGAACCCAAGTTAAAGCACTATTATACATTTATCTATGCAAATCTTCGAGCTGGCAAGCATACTGCCCTTGCGCTGAGAACATAAAGAGCAGTGCTTTACTCTTTTTTCACTTGTGCCTTTCAGGTGAACGACAGCCACAGGACCGACAAGAACAAAACCGACCCGGGAAACTTGGGCAAAAGCCTCGATCCTGTGTATCAATCCGTGAATCCGTGAATCCGTGAGGTAACGAGTAGGCGAGAGGGCGCGGTCAAAGCAGGAAGTGAAAAATTGCGGGTGTGTTATGAAACTGGGTATCACATTGCCGTACAGTCAATGCACTGAGATACTTCGGTTTCTAGACAGCCCTGTGACGGACGTCGTAAATGAGGTAGTTCGGCTGAGATATGCAGTTCTGTGGTCAGCGAGATGTTGTGACTTTGCCGGGGGTTTCTCAGGGTGAGAAAAACCAATATAATCTCGCGCGTAGTATTTGTTGTTCTTTTCGGTCTGGGGTGCCTTCGTTCGTAATTCACATATCGGATGGGGTGGACAACGGCCGAACAGGTCATCCATAGCGCGTATTACCAACGGGTCGATGCTTGGGAGGATGATGAAATGGGATGAGATCAATAAGGTTTGGAGGGTTATAGCAGTCATCAGGCAGGATGTAGTCCTTTAATAAGGAGGAAAGTGAACGTCTACCACAGTTATGGCGCTGACACCAGGTGGATTAAACGAGACAGGATAAGGAGGGATCTGCACTCAATAGTGTAGTCATCAAAGTCAAGCTAAGATTGCCAATATAAATGTACTACCTGAAGCAGGACAGTTCACCGTATGTAGACTAAGGGGCGGCGTGGTGAGGGTAATCAAACACGTTACGACTGGCGGGGGTGTACATTTTGAGATAGTGGACTAGATTTCCTGGAGGTTATTAGTGAGCTGGACGATAATAGGACAATCTAGAGGGAAGGTGTATTTAAGGTAAGTGGTTACCAGACCCCGAAGCACTACCATCGGTTTTAGTCGATGAGTAGTGCATGAAGAAGAAGACTTCCGATGCTAGCCGCGAATGCTGATAGTGCAGCGTCTGGAGTCTCACTGTATATTTATATGTGTTGTATGTGTCCACTCCTGGGAACAGCAAATTGGTGTGTCTTTTTGTTTGGTTGACGAGAGGGGTTTTGGTGTGCTGTGGCCTCGATATTGACGGAAGCAGCTACAGCTATGTACGTCAACTTAGGACATGGGCACCGCGGAATTTCTTCCGGTTATCCCAAGTATGTTGTTTTTAATCCCTTTTGGACAGACGAAACGCCAGTTTTTGTTATTGCTGTTGTTGTTGTTGCTGTTTACTGCGTTGCCGAATAACTCAACCGAGGTGAGGCAAACACCAGGAGCATCAATCAAAAGACAGCGGTGCTGTTTATTTTATTTTTATTTTTATTCCCCAAATGTAAAGGCCAGACGCAGCCCGCCCGATGATGGGCGATGCACCCGTACTACTGTAAGGATGGTGTGTATACGAACGTACCATGGT